TTCTTTTAAGGACCGTGTAAACTTCAAAAATTGCTTCGTTCACGTCGGAATGCGTCATTAAATCACACGAGTCTCGAGACCAATTTAAATATACGGATACACGCGTGTGGTTAATTTAACTTCAAAATGGTACCAAATACGAGCGTCAAGATATACGTATGAACGTTGAGGGTTATTTAAATATTCTACCCCAAGAGTATTTAATTACCCTCTGACTTCTCAGAATGTTTCACGGCAAAGCAAGCCAAGACTAATTTACGTGCCTTTGGATGCATAAATGTTGCGAACGTATGTTTCACGAATGCAAACTTCCGACTGTGCTCACTCTGTAAACAGATCGCAGACCACGTTAATCCTTCTAAACCGTGGTCGATACGCATCAATAATAGGGTTAAATCACAGATAACAAAAAAAAACGTGGATAACGACGAAAATTGAGAACTGAAACTTGAGTGGTGCGGTTCGCGTGACAATAGTTGCTGTTTACTCGACACCTAGCGCCTGTATGGGGATACTGAAAATTCGAGACGCACGCGCGTGTCAACGTCATCGGTGAAATTAGCAGCCTCGTGGAAATTCATTTTACAGCGAACGATGTCACGCGTTAATGGCACGAGAGTCGATGCGTTCGCGTTGTTTCAAAGTATAATAATTTCACAATGGCGGGAACGAGATTCGATTAAAACGCAAACAGGTCGGGGACAATTTTAACGCGAGCCGTTCACGAAAATGACGGATAATGGATTTGACACGTCGATGGACAGCGCGATAATAAAATTGCAAGGATATTTATTATTCGACAATCGTCAAAGTAATATCTTCGAATTTCCATCGAGCCGAAACGCTCAGCTGGACAAACTTCGCCCGAGCAATTTGCAATAGCGCGAGCTGAGCCCTCGGTTTTCAGTTGATTTTTTTCCCCGTCGCTTTGACGCTAATTACTTGTCGAGCAAACGTGCCAGAACTTTTTTTTTTTTTCGGAGCGAGGGTTTATGTACGGTCGAAGTGTTTCGAACTTGCTACGCGACGAATCCGATTATCAAGCTTTTAATCGATCCCAGTTTTCTTCTGAGGATTAAGCACGACCGAGCTGTGACTATTTTGCGACGAAATCGAGGCACCGTGATGCGATTAGAATGTTTCATCTTCTGGTAGATATCAATTTTCGGAATTAACTTATAAGTAAAGAAATGTTCGGAGCAATTTAAATGGTTTCTCGTACGTAATAAAGTAACAAAATGATAGTTTATTAATTATATTAATATTAATAGTACACGAACGATTTAGTATTATAAATTCGGAGGAAGGTTGGATCGTTATATCGCACAGAAGGTTGTACGTGTACACTTTTCGTGTTATTTAGAATTTTGAGGTTGGTGTGCGACCAGAGGATGGCCATAAACGTCAGGCTGGCTAAGCTTTAAGTGGCAGCCTTTGTAGGTTACGTGACTTAGAGGAGAAGGAATCACCGACAGCTTGAGTAGTTTCATTGACCAAAGGAGTCGTGTACTCTAGACACCTAATAAACGGCTTTCCTTCTGACATTTTATACTCAAACTCTATTAACGATAAATATTTCGAACCGTGGACATTTATTTACCTGTACACGTGGAGAAATAAATTCACACCCAAGACTTTTAGAATAAATCTCTTGGAAGTAGTCGTCAACAAGCGAAATATTCGAATTCGAATCCTAATTCAGTACTTGTCGAAACTTAACTAGTGATTGGTTGGGAGAAATGGGTCTTTCAGCGAGGGAGTCGAAGTTTCTGGAATTGTTCGCGACTGCTACTAGCTTGGTTAGTCGGTAGAATGTTCGCTGTTTCGGAGCAAGGAGTTGCGGATTCGTAGAATGGCAAACAGTCGATTCTAGAAACCTATCGTGATTGCTTCTAGAGTCTCGTTTTACTTGTAATTCAAATAAAAGAACAACACGGAGCAACGTAGATCTCTATGTAGTTACTTCATTCAACGCAACACTACACGTACATATGATAGAGATAGAAATTAATAAATGTAACTTGAATTATGAATGTATAACGGGCAACTCGTGAATTTTTCCATTAAATACAAAGTTTCTTACCCCTGAACTCGCTCGACCAGAAGTACGACGAAAATTTCATAATTTCGGAGTTCACAGCTAGCACAAATTTTTAAGGTGCAATTAACCTTGCGCTACAACTTTGAGATTACAAGTGACGCTGCGATGTGAACTTGTAGTTAACTTTAATGTTCAGTCCGTAAACGGAATAATTTTCAGACGTCTACGAAGACAGTTCATCTCTCGAAGCATCTGCTGGCTCTAATAGGGCTCACTCCGCTCGAAGACGATATTCGTTCATCGAAATACTGGACCAGCTGGATTTACAGGCCCTATATACTCCTGAAAGCTTACAGCTTTCTGGCGGTTTTACCAGAAACTTGTTACCTTCTGTTACGGTTTCTAGTTAATCGTGTTAATTAACGTCCTCGGAAAGACTAACCGATAGGTAGAAACTGATATAGCAACCAAGGTGGAAAGATCAAATTCGGAACTGCACTCTTATCGATATTTATCGTCCTAATTCGGTGGCCACGATAGGGCAGTGAATTCGCTGCGTTAAGGGGATTATCTTTCTGAACGGAAATCATGTTTCGCGTTCGCTTGATGCCGAATGGAAAACCAGCGAGCAAATTTTCCGACGGAATTTACGCAGCAACGTGATGGGATTTATTTTGTCGGATGAGAGCGCTCCTCGTTCGTACGTAATTGTAATCTCTGGACAAGTCGCCATCGGAATGAGAATCTGCTGGAATTACTGGGTACCAGATAGTGATTAAGCGAAACGCATTTTCCGAAATTCGCATCACTATATTATGCCCAGGAGAACTCGCCGCTCTAACGAACATTCCATACTTGAAGAATATGACTAAATTACACGCGTTTCGATTAATCAGAAACACGAACGAACCATTGAAAATTATTTCCCAATAAAATATCAAACGTTTGCGATAAATTTGTAATTTAATTTCCTCTGAAGCTTTACTGTGTCCGAGCAAAAAATGTATGTTTTCCCATGTGAAAATGCGTGCACTCGTAAACTAAATGTTGATCGTTGTTCTCTTATTTTACAAGTAAACTTTCTACGCTCTCGGCGTTAGTTACTAGCTAAAATCTCAGTTTCATAGCTGGATTCCGACGTTAGAAATGCTTCCATCCTCCATCCTTTTTTTTTTTTTTTT